GCTCAGGTGCCAATCTTTAAAAATAAAGAATTAGGGGCTGGCCTCATGGCCAAGTGGTTAAGTTCGCGCACTCCATTCTGGCATCCCGGGGTTTCACTGGTTCGAGTCCTGGGTGTGAAAATGGCACCCCTCATCAAGCCATGCTGAGGTGGCATCCCAAAAGCCACAACTAGAAGGACCCACAACTAAAAATATGCAACTATGTACTAGGGGCTTTGGAGAGAAAAAGGAAAAATAAAATCTTAAAAAAAAGTTAAATTAAAAAAATAAAGAATTAGAAATAAAAATAAATGGGAAAAAAGTGCAACGTTTATATTCTTAAAATATATTCTTTGGGGCCGGCCCCATGACATAGTGGTTAAGTTTGCATGCTCCGCTTCAGTGGCCTGGGGTTTGCAGGTTCAGATCCCAGGCACAGACCTACACACCACTCATCAAGCCACGCGGTGACAGCATCCCACATACAAAACAGAGGAAGATTGGTGGCACAGATATTAGCTCAGGGCCACTCCTCCTCAAGCAAAAAGAGGAAGATTGGCAACAGATGTCAGCTCAGGGCCAATCTTCCTGACCAAAAAAAGTATTCTTTGATTTTAGAGTCAGAAGATGTTTCCAGCCTTAATTTCTCTTACTGCATCATATACTTTAATCATATTAAATTACTTGAAAGTTGCCTAGGAGAAACTATTATTTATTATTGAATCTTCAGTTCCTGTTAGCGGACTAGCATAAAGGGCCACAAAAGTCTAAAGAATAAAGACCTAAGAACTTGAATGCTTGGTTTCTAATCTCAGCTCTGCCATTTAATAGATGAGTAATTTAGGCAAACTATTTAATTTCTCTGAATTCCTAACTCAACAAAGGTTATCGTGAGACTCAGAAGAGATAATATGCATGAAAGCACTATACAATGACATATACATATAAACTGTTTTCATTATTTTAAGCTATACAAACTATTTTGCTACCACTTGGAGGTCTACTGACAAATCATCTCCCTTTACTCAGGAATAAAGCATTAAAGTAACTTCTAGAATCACCCCCAAAGGACTCAGGCATCCCCCAAGATCATGCTCCTTGCCATGTTCCTTTTTCAGACCTTTCTCTCTAAACTTTACTCTTGGTGTCAAAAAATTAACTGTTCTATGTTTTCCCCATAATAATAACTGTTATACAATACAGTTTTCAAACACTTCCATATGCTTTCTCATATGTAATCTCTACACATGCACACACATGTGCATATATATAGTGAGAAGATTTCAAAGAGCTTTTTTATAGCCAGTAATCTAATAGTGAGCTATGATATTCTTAACAATATTTAGATACATATTGTTCTAATATTAACATAAACTTAAGGGTTAGTAGGCAGTGTCTATTATCTGGCCTGCTTGTTAGATAATATCTAAATAACTACATATAATCAAACTACTGGCCATCTACTAATAGACTATATCTTACCTCCACCTGTTATACTTTCTTAAAACACCTTCAAGCACTGAGGCATCATTATCATAGACTTCTTATAGCAAATTGCTTGATTGTAAGTTCGGAACTCAGACTAAATTCTCACTCCTGTGGAAAGGCTTCAGACTTTGACTTAAGTTACAACACCTAAACATTTTGTCATGGTTACAAATGCAACTTTATCTTTAGGGAAAAAAAATGGAAAAATTTTGAAGAGATTCATTTCTTACTCCTGCTAGGTTACAAGACAGCAGAAGTAAACTTAAGGCAAGTGTCTTTAAGACATTAAACTCCATCTATTTAAAATTAAATTGTTCTAGAAATCCTAGTTTTTTCTTAACTATAAATATCCTTCTTTAGGTAATTACAGCAATTTGGACTTGTATTTGGAATTAAGCAGTCGATAGTATTTGAGTGCCCATTTTACAGTATTTGATGGTTACTACAAAACTTGTTTTAAAAGACGGATGTTTTCAGGGCTGGCCCCGTGGCTGAGTGGTTAAGTTCGTGCGCTCCGCTGCAGGCGGCCCAGTGTTTCGTTGGTTCGAATCCTGGGCGCGGACATGGCACTGCTCATCAAACCACACTGGGGCAGCGTCCCACATGCCACAACTAGAAGGACCCACAATGAAGAATATACAACTATCTCCCAGGGGGCTTTGGGGAGGAAAAGGAAAAGAATAAAATCTTTAAAAAAATAAAATAAATAAATAAATAAATAAATAAATAAAAGACGGATGTTTTCATAGTCAACATTCTCCATGAAAAGTATCTCAACTATTCAGCAAATATTTACTGAGTGCTTACTGTGTGTATAAATTAGATAACATCCTTGCTCTCATTCAACGCATATTCTAGTAGAAGAAGACAACCAATAAACAAGTTAATAAATGAAATAATTTCAGATAATTTGAAGTGTTTTAAAGAGAACTCTAAAGTGTTACTAAGACAGAGACTGACGGAGAGGGGCTACCTTAGCCAGGGTGGTCAGGGAAGGCCTGTTTAGCTCTTAAAAATTCTACTGAGGGGCCGGCTCCATGGTGTAGTGTTTAAGCTCAGCATGCTCCATTTCAGCGGCCCAGGTTCACGGGTTTAGATCCCAGGTGCGGACCTACACCACTCATGAGCCATGCTGTGGCGATGACCCACATATAAAGTGGAGAGGACTGGCATAGATGTTAGCTCAGAGCTAATCCTCCTGAAGCAAAAAAAAGAGGAAGATTGGCACAGATGTTAGCTCAGGGCTAATCTTCCTCAGCAAAAAAGTAATAATAAATAAAAATAAAAATTATACTAAAAATTCAGCACTAAGGTGGATAGTTATTTTGGCTAGAGGAAAAGGAGAAAGTCTGGGTATCATACTTTTTAAAAGGTATAATGCTTTCAGAAAAGCAAATGGGCTGATAAGGAGGTCTTAACGACCTCTTTGATTCTATTATCAAGAATAAATGTTTTCAGTTCTCTTCATCTTTCCCATTTATTGCCTTTCCCCATGTACAAATCTCTACATATCCCTTCATATCTACAGCTAAAAATCAAATTAAGTAGTTTGATACAAAGATAGTAAACAATTAATGACCAAATGAGTGTTATGTAACTATAATAGAAGTGAAGGGACCATCAAGGCAAGAAGAAAGATAATAAAACTTGGAATGAGAGGATTTGGTTGTAGTATTCTTAGCTTCGCTACTTAATATCTATATAGAGTTCTGGAAAAATCATGTATTTCTCTGAGCCTCAATTCTTTTATTCTATAAAACAGATAACACCATCTGTTTCATTAAATTGACATAAAGAATGAGAAAATATGTGAAAGGGGTTTACAAAAAATAAAGTACTGCCAAATGTTAATTATATACTCATCTTGGGCTGGAGTGGTGGGGATGGGAAAGGTTTCAGAAAAGAAAAATGTGAGCAGGGTCTTGAAAGGTTAATAGAATTTAGAAAGAAAGGAAAGAAGGAGGAGGGTTTGTGTTTTGAACCAAGAACACAAAACCCAGAGGCAAAAGAGCATAAAATGAATTTGATACAGCAAAAAGACTAGTCATATTAAAGCAGAGGACTTAGGAAGGCTCGTTTTAGGAAGCAGAGAGAAAAAAGTTATGGTCAGATTGTTGAAAGTTTTGAATGTCGTTTTTTACTTAATCACTGCTCTTTCATGTTTTTCAAAAAGTGCTTTTGTTAAGACTTTGAAACAAACTTTATTTTAAAAGTTGCTTCATTTTGTTGAGTGTCAATTTACTTTGAAGCTGGTAAAATTACTTTTTTGGTTCTCATAGTAAGGTGAAGTGTTCTGAACAAAGTTTCATTAATATTTCTAGGTTTCCAAGGGCACTAGTAAAAAACTAACCTAAAAAGATGGTAAGAAGAGCTTTATCAATCATAATTCTCCTTGGACTATTGTCTATACCACCCAAATGTCACAGTACTTTATCATTTATAGTTATATGAGTAATTCCCAAAGTCTTCAAGCGTGACACTGTGTCATTGCTTGATTTTATAATACTTATCCTTCACAAAGCAGTATAGTATGACATACACAATTTTATTGATTTAATGGTTTTTACCAAAAAAAATTTTAAAATAAAATTCAAAAAAATTTTAAAGTACATGCCTCTAAAAAAATAAGATAAGTAAAACTGCTTTAAGAAGTTTATAGAAATTACTAGAGTCATCTGGAGACACACAGGGATCAGAAATATTTTACGCTTTTTAAAAAATTATTTCCTTTTTCCCCCACAGTGTAGAACTAATTTTATTCTGATATTAAAATGTATCCCTAATAAAACAGTCTTTCTTTCTTACCCTCTTTTACAAGTCATTGAAAAGCTTACTAGAGGATTAGTGAACTTACAGTGAGTTAATCTCATCCTTTCGTAGCATTTTGGGATCACTTAAAGTGTTCTCTACAGTACTTTTCAATACTGATCAGAGAGCCAAAAGAAACAACAGAATTCCTACGTCATCTTAAAGATCTTGTAAATTCACATTTGATTATAACATATTATGTCGAAAGATCACATAATCTAGAGCAGTGCTATCCAACAGAAATATAAAGCGAGCTACAAATGCAAGCCACATATGCAATTTAAACATTTCTAGAATCCATATTTTAATAAAAGTAAAAAGAAACGTGAAATTAGTTTTAATAATGTATTTTATTTAACCCAATAAATCCAAGATCTTATCACTGCACATGTAATCAATATAAAAATTATCAATAAGATATTTTACATTTTTTTGTAGTAAGTATTCAGAATCCAGTGTGAATTTTACACTTACACAGCATCCCAGTCAGACAGCCACATTTCAGGTCCTTAGCTTCATGTGGCTTAGCGGCTACTGTATCAGGCAGTGTAGATGTGGAGGTTTCTCCTAATCACCAGTGCTACAACCCAATTTTTAAGAAACCTCAACCTATGAACTTAAGTCTGCCACACACACACATCTCTCAGAAGCACATTTAGGGGAAACAAAATCTTCAGAGATGAACTCTAAAGAAAAGTTCATTTTCACTTTAAAGTAGTACTCCAGTGGTTGTTTTAGCAGCACATATACTATACCTGGAATAATACAGAGAAGATTAGCACGGCCCCTGTGCAAGAAGGACATGAAAATGTGCAAAGCATTCCATATTTCTAAAAAGATAAATAAGTGAGGTAATGGATATGTTCATTAACTAGAAGGGATGGATCCTTTCACAATGTATACATCTATCAAATTCTCACAACATATATTTCAAATATCTTACAATTTTATTTGTCAATTATACTTCATTAAAATTTAAAAATAAAATGGTATTCAATTTTTCATCTACAACAAAAGATACCTGTGAGGATCTTTTCAAAATAATACTTTACATTCAGAGTAGAGTATTGGGACTGTCTCTATTTACATATGCTCACTCAGTATACAATTTCACAATGTTGAAAGTAAAAGCAACACTAGGAAATGAGGAATTTATGTGATTTTTCACTTTATTCTTTTCTTAAATTTCTCCTCTCACAAGCAGCCATAAGGCATCAGAACCACTTGGAAAACTTAACCGGTTGGCCAGAGAGAGGGGAGTGGTTTGTGGCCAATGTGAAACAAACAGCTCCTCAGAGTAAGACAAGTAGTACAGCAAAAACATCTGTAGCACAGAGATAAGGCAGGAAAGGATAGGAAAGGCTGCTCTTTCTCCAAACTCTTAGGCTTTTGGTCAACACTGCAATAAACTAATTATCTAGCAAGTCTATTTAGCTCTCCAACTGTTTACAATTCTAAAATGATTTAATTTAAATCAGTACCTAATCTTAACTATGAAATATCTTTATAATACATTGCATCCATGAATGCATAATAAATTAAACTACTGCTACTGTGGAGACTTAACTATGATTCAAGACTTTATTGCAACCTTCCAAATATCAAGTATTAGGACAGGTATAAAAATAAGCCAACATGTTCTAAAGTATTCACTAATCACTATAAAATTAGGCCATTGACTGCCTAATTTCAAATACATTGAGCTATAATTGCTTAAAGAAGAACATTTATACATAGGAGAAAAAATAAGATTTCAAGAATAATTTGACTTTAAATGGATGGGTTATAATGTTTGAGTTTTTAATGTTTTGAAATATAGCCTTTTGGGGGAGAGGGGGCACCTGGTGGCACAGTGGTTAAGTTCATGTGCTCTGCTTTGGCAGCCCGGAGTTTGCCATTTCAAATCCTGGGCACAAACCTACACACCACTCATCAAGCCATGGTGTGGCAGCATCTCACATACAAAATAGAGGAAGACTGGTACAGATGTTAGCTCAGTGACAATCTTCCTCAAGCAAAAAGAGGAAGACTAGCAACCCATGTTAGCCCAGGGCCAATCTTCCTCACCCAAAAAAAAAAAAAAATATATATGTATATATGTAAATATATGTATAAAAAATATATATAAAAATATATGTATAAAAACATATATATATATATAGCCTTTTAATTATCTAGGCTAAATCAGTATGTCAAGGAAAAGTTATTGAGACCTTCTTGTGTTATGTGCATCATGAAGGATAAAACGGTATTAAGACATCCCTGCCCCCAGGAGTTTACAAGATATAAAATAATACCTATGGTCTATTGCTGCTTTCGCCATCCAGTGGCAGAGCTGAGTACTGCAGCAGAGACTGTATGACCCACAAAGCCTAAAAATTTACTGTCTGGCCCTTAACAGAAAATGTTTGTCAACCACTACTCTATACAAATTATTCTTGACTGAAGGGAGAGGACAGTGTAAAAAAACCACTAAACACCATAAAATTTTACTATATCTAGCAAACTTTTAAAAAACTATAGTCTTCACTATAAACACTCAGCTTTCACTATAAAACATCAGTCTGGCTGATGGTAAAATAAAACTTGTACACTAATTCTCACCTAGGCATGTCTGCTAAGAGAAATATATTAGAATATTTATGGTGGTGAGTTAAGATGTTTATCAAAATGGGCTCATGTATTTTAAAAGGTTGACAAAGACTTTAATAATCATATTTCCATGTTGTCCAGCTTGACCATCCTCATCTAACTCATCACTCCTGGCCGTAAATGACTTTGGCTACTTCTCAAAATCAAATTTACCCTGAAAGTAGAAAATTCTCATTATTTGCCACACTTATGTTCTATAAAGTTGCCAGGGATGCTAGAGTCGTGAATGCTGAATCATTGTCCCTTAGGGAAACAGAAGGTTAAGTCAACTCATCAATATATAATCTTGTTTTATGTGTTTCCGCTTAAAGACACCTTATTTAATATAACATTGAACTCATGGCCAATAGCACTATAACTCATGCCTGAAAGAAGCTTATCTAACACACGTATTTTCTCCATAAGACACATCATGGCCTTCTTGAGCTTAGGAACACCAGGCAGCATTTCAGCACTTCACTGAAACATTTCTTTAAACAGTGAAATCACCAACAAAAATGCAAAAATTACAAAAATGCACTAGATAGACGACAAAGACTTGTTTATAAGAGTTGAAACAAGAAAGCTAAACACTCCCTTGTTGGATCTCAGCTGGGAACATAGCAAATTTTTTGCTGCTCTCCCCAAGCACATGTCTGCAAATGACTGGGAAAGCACCCTGAGTACTGATTTCGGAATTATAAATAAATTTCACTAAATGGGCAAACTTGAAGCACAGAATTGGTGAATAACGAAGGATCAATGTACAATGATGCATTACTACTGATCATCTCTAAATTATGAGTTAAAAATTATTTTTGAGCAAGAGCAACATTAATAAGTACACAGTCATCCAAAGTAACGTCTTCGGAGCCACATTTCCTTAGTATCTATAAAACGAGTGATGTGTGGGTATTCCCCTCTTCCTCATTCCACACAGCATACTGCTGCTTTGAGACTCAGCCTCTAGTTGGGCAAGTCTGAGCCCCAGCTTGGGTTAGGTTCCCCTGACCTTAAGTTGCCACATTTTTCCCAGTATCTCTACTCTATCACTTATCACAACTATATAACCATTTGTTTGCTTATGACTTATCCACTGGATTGTAACCTCCCTGAACGATCCTGGGTTTTTTTCCCCCAGAACTTTTTGTCTAGTAGAAGGCCTTACTTATAACACATTGCAGTTCAGTTAACTTGTACTGAGTGAATAATTCAATGAAATGAGAAATTACAAGGACCTAAAGTATAATGACTATCATATAAAAAGACAAATGGGTAAATTTAAGTAATAAATAGGTAGAATATGTACAATTTGCCAACCAACTATATGTGGCAATTTGCAAGGATTTTAGATTGCCCTGGTTTCTCGATTGAACGAAGGTGTGCACAGCTGGGCTACTAACAAAAGAACAGAATACAGGAAGAGTACATTTGAAGGGAAAGATGAATTCTGTTAAGAACAAGCCTATAACCCTATTAATCATCCCTTCACCTATGCTATTTCTATGCTTGGTAAACTTTATTGCTTGATAAGACTGTATTCCTAATTATTACCCGTGTTGTAGTAACTTGTTTCTCTGGTCAACTTCCCAACTATAATGTAAGATCATACAGGGCAAGGTTTATTTACTTTGTGACTCCTGAAAACCTAGTACAATATTCAATTGCACTGAATGTGAATGAAGACATCCAGGAGAGAGTTGGATATTCTGAACTGGGGCTTAGGAAAGAAGCCTTAGCTGGAAATAAAGATTTAGAATAGATCAAAACACAGGTGGTATTTTAAAGTGTAAAAGAGGAATAATTTTTGAAAGAATCAAAGACAAAACTCTGGGATGACCAGCCTTTAAGGGGCGCATCAATCAAGAGGAGACAAATGAAAAACACCGAGAAGAAACAATCAGAGATCAGCCAGGTGAGAGGTATGGCAAACACTACTGATTACAAACCAAACAGCCATTCCTATCTTCTTTCTGGCTAACGGATAGCTAACTTCTTCCAGAATAGAGTAATAACTCAAGGAAAGACGGAGCTTCTCCCAGTCCCATGGTTAGTATAAGTCAATCACAGTAATCACTTTTCCTTTTGCCAGTGACTGGTGTAGGGGTGGCCAATGAGATGTAAGGGAAATGCTCTGGGAACTTGGGGGACTGTCCTCCCTATAAAGAGAAACCTACCCAGGAGAAACCCCAGCACTGCCTCTGCTTTTGGATGATGAAAATATGATGCTTGCTTTCTTACAACCCTGAGAGTACACATCTGTGACACAGTGAGAATGGTAGAGTACAAAGGGAACAAGAGCCTGGGTCCTTGCTAGTGTTGTTGCATCTCTGAATCAATCTTGGAACCACCTATCATTGAACTTATTGTTAAAGAGATTCTGTTACTTGGAGTTGAAAGCATCCTGATACCACTGGTGTCCCAAAAGCAAAAGGAGGATAGTGTTTCATGAACGATATAGGAAAGTCAAGAACGTACCCACAAGAGTGAGAATGATTTTGGATGCAGCAGTTACAGCTAATCATGGTAAGCACTAAAGAAAACATTAACTATGTGCAAGCATTACTCTAAAAACTTAATACATATAACCTTATTTAGTCTCTCACAACAATCCTATGAGGTAGATGGAATTGTGGGCAAAAGCCAGAATCTAGTAAATTGAATAATAAGAGGGATATGAAAATGGAATAGTAAATTTAGACATATCAAGAAAGTCATCTGAAGGAAAGGAGAGAGAATTGTAATAAGGGACGGATAAAGGAAGTTTTAAGACGGTCAAGAAAGGAAGAAAACAATATAGCGGAAAATGAGACATATAAAAATAAATAAAATACATAACAAAAGAAACGATTGCTTAAGTAGGGTCACAGAGAAGATAGGAGGGCTTGGTAGCAAGGGTACCGACGAAATTTGAACAAAATTAGAAGTGGGCTCTAGATTAAAATAAAATAAATAAGGACAAATTTATAAATTTGAAGGCAAGAGGACTAGGAAAGCCAAAAAGTTCATAGATGCTATCAATGCTCTTAAAAATTTTGTTAAAAAGGAGAGCCACTACTAAAGAGCTGAGTATACAAGTAGGGCATTTGATAAGAATGGCGATGGTTTGGTACAGCAATTATAGGAAACAGGAAGGAAACTGATCAGAACAAGTAAAGGATTACTAAATCTTCCTGAGGACCTAGGCAAAACCAGAAACCA